CGGCTTCCCGCCGGGCAGCGAGCGTCTCCCCGCGGCCGCGGCCGCAGCATCCCGGGCCGCCGGAGAGCACCCGGGGGGCTGACCACCGAGGTAGGAGGGCGGTGCGCCCTCTGCCCTCGGCGCTCTGAAACGCCGAGTCCCCGCCTCGCGTGCTCCCCCCCCACTACCACCACGGCCACCGGCGCCGGGGCTGCTTCTCCCCGACTCTCCCCGAGCACCTTTGCGTTTGGTGTAGGCACGAGCTTGCAAAGCCTGTCTGTCCCCACCTCCCCAAAAGCACCCTAAGGAGACTGTTTTCAGGGGGTCGGATCACCAATCACTTAAGCACCGGAGGCCAGCGCGAGCACTTGGCTCGGTCGCGGGGGTGGGAAGCCCACGCGCGCGTGTGTACACACGCACACGTGCACACACACACGCACGGCGTTGTATTTTCACTCGGTTTCACCACTCACAGGCAGGGGAGCCGCGCCGATGGTATGAGATACCGAATCCGCCATCCAGTGCGGTGTTTCCTGGGTGAGCGGCTTTTCGGGCTCACTCTCCCGAGCACTGTCAGTGAAATGCCGGGCGGAGGAGCTAGTTGTCGTTAGGGATAGACCTCCCGGAGCGTCTGTAAACGTGTGAGTTCTGTCTTATTTAAGAAATCGGTGCAAGTGGAAGGAGAACGCACCGAGTTTTGAGGAAACGCTTGTGTAAACCCTATGGGGGAGCAGCTTGTTTGGGTGGGGGGAAAAAAAGAGAAAATGCCAGAGTGACAGGTTTGGGTCCTTGCCTGGTTTGCAGCTCTGCACCTGTTGCACGGCCTGTTCGGAACACTCCCGAATAGCGGTGAATATACTAAGCAGCTGCTGGTATGCCAAGGGGAATCCAGGTCTGCTCTAGAGGAAACTTTGAATGTGGTAACACACAAGGCGGAATTCCGCCTCCCGTTGACAAGGACTGGGAACTCTCCGTGTGCGAACATCTTTTAAACGCTGGGATTTTGACCACTCGGACAGTAAGCCAACCCAGGCAGAACACAGTTAAATTTCCGAAAACTTCGGGCAAATTTTCCTCCTGCGATTATTTGAATCTTTCACATTAAAGAGCCGAGTCTTGTCGAAGGTAACTTGGTGTGTGTGTGTGTGTGTGTGTGTGTGTGTGTGTGTTACCAGAAGTCGATTTTTGTTCGCTCACAAATTTAATTCAGCGAATCCCCGCTGGAAGATCAAATTAAGAGTTAGGCACCGTGGACCTCTGGATTTTATGCAGCCTGTTCACTGATCTGGAAGTAGACAGGATGTGTGGAAACTGAAGAGAGGCGGTGATGCAGAATTCCCAACAACAACCAAAAGTTGGGAAGCAATGAAAGGATTTGGAAAGCATTCCTGTTACCTCTCATAATTCTGACAGACTGAAAGGGAACAAAACAATCCAGATAATGTATTTCCACTGCTACTGGTATACGAACTTCAAATATGATAATATGTATGAGTCAGTGCAGATAAGCTTTTCTTGCTCTATTTATTTATACTGGTTAATCTAATCCTGACTTTCTCCTGAAAGCAGCCTGTGTGGGGAGAGTATTTACATGGAGATGGCAAGTGGGGGATGTAGATGCTCAGCCCAACTCCTGAGCCTAGTTCTATGTCATGGTCCTTTTCTTCTAAGTAGCCACTCCGATGGCCTTTTCAGATTGGGTTTCCGAGCCCTCCCACATGCAGAATTTAATAATCCCACTCTCTACAATATAGAAATTGATGATACTTAATTGTGTGTGGGGATATTTGTTCTTCGGTAGTTTTGTTTTATTTTTTGGTTTTTCGAGACAGGGCTTCTCTGTGTAGCTTTGCTCCTTTCCTGGAACTCACTCTGTAGCCCAGGCCTGGCCTTGAACTCACAGAGTTCTGCCTGCCTCTGCCTCCCCAGTGCTAGGATCAAAGGCGTGCGCCGCCGCCACCTGGGGGTTCTTAGGTATTTTCCTCTGCTCTTAAACTGACCTTGAAAATGATAAGTAGCTGATGCCCCCAAATTACTGTTCAGTTGGCTTTGTTACTGGACTAAATCTAGTATATCCCATTCGTGAGGTCCCTAATGGGAAATGTCTCCAAGCCTATTTCCTTTATAATAAAATGTCTATATCCTTAGTTAATATTGTATGAGATGAGAGAAACAATCTCAACTAATTAAAAGCAAACTAGCAAGAAGTTCTGAGCGGGTGGGAAGGATCAGTTTCTGCTTGAATCAAGCCAATTAAATTATAAAACCTTTTCTTCTACCGTTTAATTTTTCATTTTTTTTCCTTTTTAAAGATTTATTTTGTAAGTGTCTTCTCTGTGTGGATGTGCACCATATACATGCCTGGTGTCCTAGGAGGCCTGAAAAGGATGTCAGGTCCCATGGAACTAGAATTCCAAACAGTTGTGAGCCACCACCATGTGAGTGCCGGGGACCAAATCCAGGTCCTCTGCAAAAACAGCCAGTGCTCTTAACCTCTGAGCCATCTCTCCAGCCCTGAATAGTTTTTAGCTTTTTGGGTTATTGTTTTTTGTTTGTTTGTTTTTTGCTTTTTAGTTATTGTTTTTTAGGTTAGCACACAAAGCAAAGGGCTTCATCATGACGTCTTCCTACAAATATGTCATAGACCAGGTTGGCCTCAGACTTGAGGGAATCTTTCTGTCTGTCTCCCAAGTGCTGGGAGTACAGGCATATGCTGCCGTGCCCAGCTTAATGGTATTTAATTTTCTATGATGGAAATTTCCAAACACAGACGTATGCTTATATAAAGCATTCCGCATGCTCAACATCATCACTGTGTTATTTAACTTATAACCCTTGCTCTTTTTTACCCACAGGATTATTAAAATCTTATGTGAGGGGCTACAGAGTTGGCTCAGTGGTTAAGAGCACTTCCTGCTCTTGCATAGGACCCAGGTTCAATTCCCAGCACCCACGTGGTTCACAATCACCCCTGATTGCAGTTCCAGGGGAGCTGGCTTCCTCCTCTGACCTCTGTGAGCAACATGCATAGATGGGTGAACACATACACATGCAGGTAAACACTTAAACACATAAAATAACAATAATAATAAAAACTTTTTAAAGGCGGGACCTCTATGAGGCCACTGAAACGGCCAGCCAAAAGATCTCCTCTGGTGATACAGCTTCTTAAAATGTTCGAGTGTCTATGTTACTTAGCAGTTTAGGGTCCCTTGCTGTACCCCTACTTCTGTGTTCTGCTCGAATCCCCCTCAGTAAAGTCTTGTGTAAATGATGTGTGGGGAGAGATTTGTTTATTATGGAAATTTTGGTAAATAATATACCTCATGGTACGTGCTTCCCACCACCCACCTGATGGCTCACAGTCATCTATAACTCCAGTTCCGGGGGATCCAATGTCCTTTTCTGACCTCTGTGGTACCAAGCACCCACATGGTGTACATACATGCAAGCAAAACACCCATACATGTGTAAGAAAAAAATCTTATGTGAAAATACTTTAATTTATCTATGAACAGGTAAGAGATAAGGTTTTAGACATACATTGCCATTATCCTAACTCATACATAGTTTTTATAATTTAAATTATCATGTTTGTCTACTCTCTCATTTAATCTTTTCACATTTGGTTTAACAGAATCCAATCAAGTCTCAAACATATAGTTTGGTTAGTGAGGTCTTTCCTAAGCCAGTATGACCAATTAATTCCCTCTTGAGTTTAATGAAGCAGCAGTGTTTTTCTGCTATTTGGATGGTTGAAAAGCACTGTTAAAAATATGGGGAGAGGGCTGGAGAGATGGCTCAGAGGTTAAGGGTACTGGCTGCTCTTCCAGAGGTCCTGAGTTCAATTCCCAGCAACCACATGGTGGCTCACAACCATCTGTAATGAGATCTAGTGCCCTCTTCTGGCCTGAAGGCATACATGCAGACAGAACACTGTATCTGTATACATAATAAATAAATAAATCTTTAAAGAAAATATGGGGAGAAATTACTGTAAATGAAATCTTCATATCAAAAGGTCACCAAGCCTGGTGTGATGGCACACTACTTTAATCCCAGCACTCTGGAAGCAGAGATAAAAATCCGTGAGTTCAAGGTCAGCCCCAGTCTACATAGGGAGTTCCAGGCCAGCCAGGGCTACACAATGAGACCTTGTCTTCAACACATCACAAGGGTCACCAATTGACAACTCACTAGAGAAGTGTAATTGTACCTAATGCAAATGAATCCTTAAAAATCCAGAAACGTATATTAATTTTCAAGTGTAATTTGTTCTGGATGGCCCTGTGAAGCATTTTAAATTCTCTTGAAAAGCCAAAACTTCAAATCAATTCATCAGTATAAAAGGCAGCCAATAAACTTGCTAATTAATGGTCTATATCTCTGAGCTCAGTTTTAAGACCTGTTGATTACTTTACAAACACAGCTAATATACAATAGTTAACTAAAAAGAGTATATACAAAAGTCTTCACCAACTGATGACACCTCTTATCAGTATCTAAGTGTACCCTGGAGATGCAATTTCATTTTCGAGGAATGTTTTTCTTTTAAGAAACCACTTTAGCTAGATCAATAGGACAAAGTTAAGGAAATATCAGATTCTCTATCAAGAATGTTATATGCAGTCTATATACTTTGGGCTATTATAGCAGCCCTGTTTAGCATGTAGAATAACTACTAATAGCAAAAAGTTATTCTAAAACATTTGAATTAAGGAGCCAGAAATTACTTGAACTATCTAGTTGATAAGAAATTCAGCCTACTATTCCCATAACTGATGAAAAAAGCAAACATTTTGTCCCCTTAGTTATCACAGAGAGGAAAAAAATAACGCATATGTTATACTTTGCATAATGCTGACCAGAAAAACATTCATTTTCCCTAGATGGTTACCATAGTTACATGAGCCATTTATAACACCAAGAGGGGGAACTAGGTCACAGTATTGAAGGAGTTTGAATTATGCAATTATGTTTCCTAAAAGCAGGGGAAAGGTTTGAAATTTAGAGAAGAGAGATTTATGCTGTGTGTTCAAGTTGAAATTATGGTCTATTTTTTGTCTGTGAAACTTTAAAATTTTGTCCAAAATCAAATTATTGATATAGTTGATATCTTGACCAACGTTGTATAGTAGGTAGATCTATAAATGTCATTTTTTTAAAAAGATACCAGAGCATTCCATCCTTGTAGACAACCTTTTTATCCTAGTAGGCTGTCTTTCGGAGATGTTTTGCAAGTAATCTGTACACCCAATGGTTGCCCAGAACTGTGAGTGTCAGGTATGTGGGGATTGCTGCTCTCACATCATATCTTCTTTGACAGCCTGAGGGAAAAATGTAGCACGATGCCTGTGAGATACTATCCATCATTTGTTAAAATGGAGATACCGCCTTGAAATTGTTAATTTGTGGTACTTGTGATTTGCTATAGATGTTGTCAAGTGTAAATAAAAGCATTTGGAGAGGAAATATGTTTAGGGTTTTTGTTTGATAGTTTTTGTTGGCCTGGAACTCATAGAGATCTGTCTGCTCCACCCCAAGTGCTGGGGTTAAGGGCATGCGCCACCATATCCACAGAGGGGATTGTATCGAAAGCCATGGGAGTGTAAACTCCATCCTTTCTTTCTGTAATCGATTTTTATTAATTCTTTGAAACTTCGTGTATTCATACAATGTATTTTGATCATATTCATCCCCACTGCTCCCCAATTCCTCCGAGATCCACTCCTTACCCCCATTCCCTCCCAATTCCACATCTTTCTCGTTTCAATTATTCTTTTATTGCTTGTTATCATAATTACATTTCCCCCTTTCCTTTCCTCTCTTCAAGACTATATAACCCCCTTGCTCTCTCCCAAATTCACGGCCTCTTTTATCATTAATTGTTATACATGGTATGTACATACATATATATTTCTAAACGCAAACTGCTCAGTTTGCAGAACGTTAGTCATCTGTATGTTTTCAGGGTGGACCACTTGGTATTGGATAAGCAATCAGTGCGCTCCTCCCGGAGCAGCTTTCTCGCTCCTCACTCTAGTGTTCCTGAGTTGTCTGTGGTTGGTGTAGGACTGAGGCCTCTCAGGCTCTCCCCGTCCCCTTTGCTTGTCTATCGGTGTGGTCCTTGTTCAGCTCATGTTTTGGGGAGTCTTGTTGGTGAGGCTTAGTGGGTGTATCTTCTGACATGCCTAGGAGATATGACCTCACAGCAAACTCCTAGTCCTCTGGCTCTTACAGTCTTTCTGCCCCCTCTTCCGCAATGACCCCTGGGCCTTGGGTGTGTCTTCAATACAGTTCCATCCTTTCTTTAAGTAGAGATGTATATTTTGTTTTGTTTTAACCAAGAACCTCACGAGAAGTCGTTTTTATCCAGAGACCATGGCTGGGGTTTGTCCCGTGCTTAATAAGTAGAGACTGAAGAG